GGCAGCGGAAGCAAGCACCTGACTGCTTAGCGACCCAGCGGGAACCCCAACTGCGCTGGCCCTGCTGACTCCGTCTAGGTCGGGAACCCTGCTGCCAGGGCCTGTAAACCCCAGCTCGGCGCCAGTCTACAATCAATTTTTCCGTGAATGTCCGTGAATAAGACACTGACTTAGGCAGTCAGGGAACTTTGCTTGATTTTACCCAATTGTTATTTGCATGATAGACTAAACAGCAGCAGAGACCAACGAATTTGATTAAACTTTATAGTCAGTGATTTGCAATACTACTTACATGGTAGGAACCCAAAGTTTGTGTGAACTTTGCTTCATTTTCAGGGGACAATACTGGTCCCATGCATGGTCACTAAAGTGGGTGGGTAACACAACTTGCCCGTGGGCCCATTAGCAAGAGCAGGAGTTTTCAATCCCTGTGCCTGGAGCCAGCCGACGCAAGGTTTTTGTCAGTGTATATTGTGGTTCTTGTTTCTAATTCACGAAATGATTTAATATGCCGTCCCACCTGTTTTTTCTCTCTGTGTTGGGGGAAGCACACCATATTTTCTGTGCCTTTCTTCGCACTTCATCAGTCATCTTTTCTGATTCTTTTATTCATGTATTTCTTTATGACAACAGATGACAAAGGGTCCTTGTCTGTGCCGTTGTCCCTCAAGCCAGTGCATGATTTGAGTAGGCGGATTCTAGTTTAGGTTTCTCTGGTGTGGAATTCTGTGCCTAACCGAAACTTCTTAATTTTGTTCCCCAAGGAGTTGCATTGGGATATAAATGTTCTCCACATCTAGTTCTTTTTTTCTTCTTGTTTGGATAGTGAAGAGCGATAGATCCTCGACCTTTATAGGTCATCCTTTATATTCTTATGTTTTTTATAGGCACTGACCGGAAGTAGGCGGATTCCAGTTTAGAGTTTTCTGGTGTGGAATTCCATGCCTAACCGACACTTCTTAGTTTTGTTCGTCAAGGAGTTCCATTAGGATTTGAATGTTCTCCATATCTATGCAGGGAACACGACCGAGGTGGCACCTTCGGAAGGGGCATAGGTCATGGCCCGATTTAACTAAACCTGCATACGGCAATGTTACCAAAGTATTTTACAGCTCTCGTCAATTGGGCTCCCACTGGCCTGTCTCTGGATTCTACATAATTGGCCTCAAATATTCATCCTGCCCCCTCTCGCATTGAGGTCCTACCTCCAGAAGCTCCTTGCAAGGCCCTAACCGAGCTTTGATACATCGATGTCTAACCTCGGATCCAAACAACCTTCCTTTAACCATATATTTGACTCTAATTGGTTCGATGCTGCCTGGCAAAGTGAGAACACCTAGAAAATCGACGAATTCCGTGTTTGGTCATGGTGGTCATTCGCACACATTTTGACACACACACACACAAATTCCGACTAAATATCAGTGATAAAGACCGCTTACTTTCATAATTACCATGTATAGTCAACAGATATTTGATAAAACGCCCGGGCAAAACTTGGCGTTCTGCTTTGAGGAAGCTACACAAAACGAACTTACTCGCCGGGCAATGCGAGAACCCGCATAAAGGAGAGGCGACGCTTAAAAGAATACCGCGCATCCGCACATCAGGCAATATATCGAGGAAGGAAGACTAGATTTCCTTGTAAGAATGTCACAATTTTTCCTCTATAGCGACTTATAAACTCCCAGCAAACAACTGCATGGCATTAAGATCAATTTAGGGAGTGGGAAAATACAAGTCTTCTCTTAGTAAACACTAGAATTTCTCAGACCACTATTAGGGTTTGTGCACAGTGCAAATGACACTCTTAAAATGGAACTCTTTCCGGGAAAGACATAGGCCTGGGTGCATGACAGCGCAAGCCTTGCGACCCAGTGATTCACAAAGGAAAACAAACGCTCACACAATAGAGAAACGTGACTGCTTGCGACACTAGCTGCAGTATCTGTATCAATGCAACGAATGCGGTCGATGCTCTGCCACACTCCTAGGCCTCGATATGACTATCGACTCTAGTTGTTCAATGATTTCTTCTAAAAGGAATAGCTAAAGCAATATCCCAACGCTGCCTGACCTGCACAGAGTGCATGAAGAGCTTTAATTTCAGAAAATCGTCCGAGTACCCCTTAACACAATTCGAAAAGACTTCCTGTCCCACATTCATACACCCAACATTCTTCACCGATTCAGTTTCATTGAGGTGATATCACTAGAAAATCGTCCAGTTGTATGAATCTTTCTTGCCGTTGCATGCTCCCGGCTAGCCCCCGAAACCGCAACACTTTGGCGGGATAGCCGAAAGGGTGTGACCATCTAAGTTTTCATTCGCAAATAGGAACGATCTTACCGCCAACTTCTTTCAAGTTACTGCAAACTGCTCCAGCATACCAGAAAACTTCGCCTTGCTTTGCAGAGCCGAAATCTCTCCAAAAGCATCGTAAAAGCCCATAGGGAATTGCAAATATCGCCAGCGTGGCTCATGAACAGCCCGCTGGCAAGAGGCTAGAATCACGAATTAACTTGATTCATCTGTCGCCCTCATCGTCTTGGGCGATACAAATAGTTATAAACTTATAACTGTATAAATAAAGTTTTATTTGTTAAATCCAAATTCTGTGCAGCATGTATGTACATATAGGGTCTGCTGAAAAGTTGTCTGCCAGTATCAAATCATGTTTTATTATAATGAAAATGGAAAGCACTCGTGATTTGTAATCTTTCCCTTATAGAGCACCATATTTTGTACAGTGTCAGGCCAGCTTATGTTTGTCTCTTTGCCCTTAGAAATCATAGCAATTCCATGTACATGAAGTATTTCTGAAACCTGAACATCACTGTAGTTAAACTGGTACAGAGCATTATCTGATCTGTGCGCTGGGCTGATGAATATGCTACAGAGTTTAATGCCCTCTGAAAATGAAAATTTGCCAATTTGAAGGTCTATTGATTGGTAGCTCTTTACGTGGTCTGATCTTTCAAGTAATTCCTTAGGCTGGAATCATCCCCAAAACATGTCCATTTGCCTGTCCTTGCCTTCTAGTAGGAAAATAATGTCAATGGCTAAAATCCAAGATGGCCATCAAGATGGCCGCTAAATGAACCTCATGGGACAATTTTTGAAAATTTTCTTCAGTTCACGAATCCATAAGATTGAAACCTTTGACAGATTATTTGCGGCGCTTTAAATATATATATATTTCGAAACTGACATTAAAAATATTTATATAGAAGCCAATTAAACTACAAAAATACAAGTTATAACCTTGGAAATTCTCCAGGGAATAATTTTATATCTTTTTAAATACTATTTTTTTAAAATATGCTCATTTGAAATAGTGACGAAAGTTCAGTCCGGTTCCATTTTTATAATTATGTGTCACCCAATCTTAAATCAGTCGGGGGTATGCACACCTGTAAATATGGTGTACGTTGCAAAGAAAACTTTTTTGCTGATGCTATCTGAAGTTGAATTTGAAGTATGAAATAATGGCCAAATGGTGACATAAATGATTTCATAAATACCAAATATTGGTATCACGTCCGTGTTTGCAAACTATGGTACTGTATTTTTGAACACCCACTTAAATTGATACCATTTTTTTCTGGCCTGCCGGAGGCCGAATAATGTTCAAGTTTAAAAAATACAGCTTACACTGACACCCGTGCTCTTGAAATTACAATGGCTGTGTTCAAATTTGTTTTGAATCAGTTTGTTTAGAGTAGAATGCCTTTTGGCTGAAAATACGTGATTCGTTGAGCAATTTGACGAATGGACAAGTTTTTGAAATCACTAGAAATTTATTTTTCGAGCAAATTGCATGTGGAGCTGCTCTCTATTTCAAACATTTATTTCCCCGATTTTTAACATGCCTTAGCCTCAAGTAATGCTACTGCATAAAAGGGGGATCGTAAATGACATAAAACCGCCAACAATACCTATAACAGTCATTTGCAATTGTTTAAGTTGTAAACGAACGAATGCACTTTTCCTACTAGCCCTAAAACTCATAAACCGTAAAAACCTTTATCTAACTGTGAAAAAGTGCAGTTTTGATATAGAGGAAGGTGTAAGCTGCAACCTTTTTCTTTTGTGTACATTTCCAGAAAAAAATCGTCTCGTCTTGAAAACAGGGAAACGGGTTTGTCCATGAATTTGCCCTTCGCTGCTAACGCTGTATCTATGGAAGAAAAATGCGCCTCTTCAGGAAAACGCTAAATGCGGTTTACTTTATAAATTTGATTGGCCGATTTCAGTTAATTTGGGGAAAATGACACCAAGCTGTAGGCATCGCATAACTTACTTAATTTTGCCCCCAAACAGAAATATGTAGTATTCATGAGTTTGGGCAAAACCGTCTCTTTGTGGAAACACTGACGACCGAAGTGTAAGTTACAGTATTTGGGCCTAACATTGTAAGTTTAATGTGTGACTGACTGTTGTCGGGAATTGTTTTGTTTGGACTGATAAGAGTGATAGCAACCCAGCATATCCGTACTGGAAATGGTCTATCCAGCTTCATGTTTTCATCATAATTGAAGATTACAAATAAATCATTTTTAATTGCATTAATGCCAAAGAGACTTATATCTGGGACTCGGAAAATACCTGTCTTCATGACTACCTACAAACCTAGCATACAACCAGTTTACTGATCTTTAGCCAATACATGTACATCATTTAGCCGAGCGATCTCCAACACGGCATAGAATTTATTTTATATCAAGACCATATATTTTCTACGTACTTTTAAATGGAAATGGTGCATTCTGCTACTGTTTTGCGCTGTGTATGTCTATCAAGCTTGGCGTTTGCGTGGAAGCGGTGTTAAAAGAATTTCATATATTCACACATAACTTTTAAAACTGCCTACGTAGACCTGCTCTAGTTGAAAGTGTACGTCTTAGTTTTTGAAATTGGTTAAATTTCCCACTGTCTTTGTCTATTTGATTTCACAAGAAATGGCTACTGCGGCGTCGGGAAGTTCTTCTTTCAAGGAGATTGGGGATGGTCAACAAGAGTACAGACAAAACCAAGTATCTGGAATAAGTATTAATGCAAACGGTTTGAGACAGAAAATGGGAGATTTGGTTTCGTTCCTCGAACGTCATGCAACTGATATAGTGTGCATCACAGACACTCGCCTGAATTTCGATTTTGATAAAGGTCGCTTAAACTTTCCACAGGATTATAAAGTTTATTATCGCGACAGGCATGGAGAATCTATCCCTAAGTGCAAGGGAGGCGGCGTTTTGATTGCCGTCAAATCCTACTTAAAGCCGCAACGCTTGGAGGAATATGAACACTGTGGATTGGAACAGATCTGTGCTGAAATTTCAATGAACGGGCATAAATGGATTATCATTGTCCTTTATCGCCCTCCACATGCTAATGTTGTTTACTGGCCATCCTTGCAAGCCAGTATTGGTACGATTAAACGGTTACTTAAGATATACCAAGGTGTTATAATTACTGGTGACCAAAATGTTGATTTGCTCAAAGACACATGCCAAGCTCGCCGGTTAGTATCAATAATGAATAGTATGGGAATGGCTCAATTAGTTAGATCTGTTACCCACCCTGAAAGGGGAACATGCATTGATCACCTGTTTACTAATCGTAAAGATGTTTCCATAGAAGTACTCATTCATGATAACCCGGTTCAAAGCGACCATCGCGCGATATTCTTCACATTCCCTATCCCTGATGAAATGCCAACGCCAACACTGAACACTGCTTTGATGAACCTGACGCTTACGCCAGGACGTACTTCAGAACCATGGGAACTATTTCGCAAGTTTGGTCAAGGTGGAAGTGGTTACGAGAAACTTGCATCAGCCATAGGTGTCGCTGCTGCTGAACCTGACGAGATCGCTGTGACTGACTGGCGGAAGAAACGAATGGTGATTTTCAACAATCAGGGGTGTACTAAGTACATCATTCAAGTCAAGACAAGTAAGTCGCTCAGTTATTAGAAACTTTGAATAATTATTCAATTTAGTGTACCAAAGAATAAAAACTGAATACAGCAATTTGAAGTGTTGCCAAGGGAAAAAGGAGCGATACGACTTTGTAAGAATGTCCAACTTATACCAGAAACACTTTTGTGAGTACGCATTCGTCCTTTAATTGAAGTTCCAAGAAATGAAGTCAAAACATCTCTTACTTCCTTGGTTGTCAAACAACCTTCTTGCCTGTTTACGTGTTTGGTTGGCATAGATCAATGCAATTCATCCGCCCATTCAAAACATGAATTTTTCTGCCGATTTTTTTTGTTACATTCTTTGTAAATGCATCAATTAAACTTTTTCTCATGAAAAACGATACTTAGAAAAATAAAAATAAAAGGCCATTTTCCTTTCTGGCTTCAAGTGAAAAATGTCAACAGCACAAGATCAGTACCTGCATTATTGACATTCACGATCCTTGTTCAAGAAAGAAACCGGTGTTGATGAAAGAGATTCAGGAAATTTTGTATTTAAAGTACCACTGTGTTGAAGGTAGGATTTCAACATGGCTAAGAAGAGATTTTGTCTTCACTTGTAAGGTTTCACCATTTCATTTCCAGCTTCTGGTTGAGCTTGGTTATGTCTAATACACGGTGGAATTGCTACAACTGGTCAGCTCAGTCATCGATTAGTCACTAGGGTTCTTGCCACATCTATAAAAACATCAAATAAACCCAAACTCTGTAAGTTCTTTTTACCAAAAGAACTACAGTTTGTATGATTCTTTCTTTTCAATTTCCACAAACTTCTTCCCACTAATTTCATTTCTCAGCATATTTAATCGAAGAAATAAAAACGTCAAATAATTTCAAGTCCCCTTTCGTTGGAGAATTTAGCTCTAGGAGGTGAGTAAAAGGAATCACAGTCAGTTTTTCTAAAAAGTTGTTGACTTCCGAAATTTAGTCAACAAATGATTCTTACAGAATAAATATTGGTGCTACCAACCAATCCAAAGGTACAGAAAATTTTAATAAGAGTGACATTTAATACAAACTTATTAACTAAAAAAAAATAAAGGCTCTGACTTACAGTTCCAGGTTTAAATTCTGCCAAAACAGCTTTTGATTTCCTTTTCAGATTTTTTTTCTTTTTTTGCTGTCTCGCAATTTTGTGGGGTTTTTTTTTGCAAGTAAGACCATGAGCAAGAATTTGTAGCTCCGCTGGAATTGGATGTTCATTCTCACTTTCGAGTGGCAACATGAAATCGTGTTCTAGGTCAATATGAAGGTGCTAAATTCAAATCTGCCTCTTGCCACCTCATCTCACTGCTCCCAAGGTCAGCGCAAGAGTGTTCTAATCCCATTTGTGATGAAAACAGTATTTTCGGCATAGTTTTCTTAATTGTTTATTAAATGCTTTTTAAATTTGGCACAAGTACTATTTATAGCAGAAATCAATATAATAAAATATCGCAGTGGGGGAAAAACTTGTGCAGCCTGACTGGCCACCATATTGTTTTCATGTAGATGGCAAAGAGAAATCGAGGCCTCACATGCATACATTGTGGGAAAACCTTTCCATTACACAATGGAGGAATGATAGAGTCTCTTAAGAAGGACGGAATTCCAAATGATCAGATTTCTTTGTAAAATGTGAAGCTGATTTTTATGGAACACCAAAATTGCGAAATTTTAACCAAATTTAAATGAAGTAAAACCTAACCCTTACTTTTTTCTCGATGGACACAACGTCTACTTGCATTATACATATCCAACTGGTCTAAACCTTGCAGGTTGGTAAGGAGGGATGTGGTTTAGACAGTCATTGACATGTGGTGACCTTCCATAGAAATGACATCAAGAGATGACGAAAAAACTTACATGAAAGGTGCACTCTTCAAAGCACTGCGCCTCATGAAGTACATGCCCTCTTGGGTTCAAGTCTTGCAGTGACTAGAAAAGGAATGATATAGAGGAAAACTGATCTAATGTGATGATGAAGCCCTCAAAGGGTAAATCACGTGACATTACAGGTTCCCTCTTTGAAGGACTCTTTAACCTGAATTGCATGTCTGATTGCGTTAAAACATCGCAGAGATCTTGAAATGAAAGTGACTTAGGTGAATGTTGAACTTATTTGAAGATTACATCATCAGGTAAGAGATCGCGTGACAATAAAATGACTTTCTTAAGAGCCCTATATCTTGTGATGCACATGTCAGAAGTTTGGTAGGTAGCGAGAAATGGAAGTGTTAAGACGAATCGAAGTGGTGTTAAAGGTGCGCACTTACTATGTATATTCTATAACTATTTTGCGTAAATAGCTCTGGGGTAGATCTTTGAGCAAAAGGTGAGAAATAGAAATGTGCTAGTATTTCAATTGAACAAAAATTTTTCTTTTGTTTTTTTTGTGTTTTTTTTAACTAAGACAGACAAAACCTCTAGTTTCTTTATCGTCGTTGTCTTCTGACCCAAATTCCCTTTGTTTTGTACACGTTTCTTCCCCGACTTTAATCCCGTAGCGACCTTGGATTTCCATCAAACTTGCATCAATGAAGGACCCGTGTTTTCTTAATACAAAAATGCAACAAAGCCCTTTGTTCTGTCCTTTTTAAAGACAGATATACCTCTAGTTTCACTTTCTTCTGATCCAGATTCCTTTTGGATTGCACGCGTTTCTTCTACCACCCTTTGTATGCGTTTCTTCCACCACCGACTTTAATACCTTACAATTTTGGATCTTCATCAAACTTACATCATTGAAGGATACATGTGGAAAATGTGTCTAGAACAATGACGTCATGATGACATTAAGTGATTTCTTATTGATCTCTCAATATTTATGTCAGCCTATTGACTTTGTACACTTTTTCAAGGTTATTTGACGATCTTCAATTCTAAAGATGTTGCGATCAAACACCTTAATACAAAAATAAGTCAACATTGATGACGTCATGGTGGCGTCATGAGACATTTGAGTGAGATGGAATATGTGATTTTCCCCCGTAGGTTTTGTACATTTTTACACCCAGACTTAGGATTCTAGTCACTCTAGTTGATTTCATTCGGTGTACACTCTTCTACCACGTAGAGAGGTCCCAGAAATTTCGTTATTATGATATCACAAGGTTCACGCAACGTGGCATTAAGCTGCAGTTTTTCTCCATACGTTTTGTACACCTTTGTGTATTGCACACTATTATTACTTTTGATGAGTGAGGAGTCCTTAACTTTGGCTGAGAATTACTATGGGAAGTAAATTGATATCGTATATTTTATGCGGCTTTATTTCACTTCAAATATACCCAAGAGTCTGAATATCAAGTAACATTTCATAAATAATTTTCACTCTAAAGGCAAATCACACGATTTAAATTTAAAGGTGCAGTTTTTCTGCCTTGGGATTTTTAGCCCTTTGACTTTGTACACGTTTTGAAGCCATCATTTTGGTAACTTGGCCACCTTTATTCGTCTTCAACGTTACAGCCAACAAAGACCGTCATACAAATATGATGTCAAGATTAGGAAGTCATGGTGAGGTCATCACCGCATGTTTTTTTTATTTTTGTTGATTCTATTGACTGATATAAATTTGTACACATTTTTAACACTTCGTTGTGGCAGTGTGCCATTTTTTTGCAATTGCGTGGCACGTTGTCCAAAATGTGGCCAAATCATCAGAGATTTTTTTCCCACATTGCCAGCATCAGATTAGGGGGGTGCAGCACTTTGTCCACATTATAACCAAATCATATTTATTATTACAAAAGGGTCATTAATCACATTTTTTCGCTAGGTTTCTGAATGAAAGAGGTGGATACCTTCTCAGCCAAGAATGTGTGTCATTTTGCGTGGTCACTCACAGAATTTTTTCCACATGGCCAGACTCTAAGGGGGTGGGCTATTCATTGGACCTTATTCATTGGAGGTCAGTAAACTATCTGCTTGGCGCCTGCCGGAAGGCTCCAGACACGCCAAGAAGCAGTGACGCAGTGGCTTGGCCCACTTTCTACAAGACGGGAGAGGGTATGTTTTTCACAAATATGTAGCAGACACGTGGCAGTATGGGACTCTGTGTACAAACATATGGGAGCATCACTTTGTGCACAAACATATGGGAATGTAAGTTTCGCCCGCCCAGTTTCAGAGACTGCCGGAAGAGCCTGTTACTGAAACCCTCTCTGGAAATAGCATCAGGGATAGTTAAAAGAAGTCACGGGGTGTGGATTAGGTCATGTATAGCATTTGGTGGAACAAATATATTATGTATTTTCTTGCCATTCTGTAGCGACCTATCACCAGCAAGTGGGCATTAGAGCCTGTTGAATCGAGAGCGTACCTTGTCAGCATGTATCACACAGATGAAACGCCAACGACACAAACACATCTTACGATATTTGCGCAGTGGAGAACCCCATTCGCACATATACACTGTGTATTGGCTTCAATGTGTCTGAACTCCTTACATCTGCCTGTAACAAAGACATTGCACAGTGCAAGACATACTCAAGGCAGTGAAGCAAGTACGTGGCTTTGAAGTCAGAGCACTTTGTATGAACCGCCAAAACGACAAAGTAGTTTAAATCCAATAAAACCTATTCCCTTTTGGGGTGGTCGGGTTTGGGTTTAGGGCCTGGGGCTTGTGGCTTTGTAAAACTCCCATAACGTACCTTTGAGAACTCTGATCGTCATCAAAGCTATATCCAACAAAGACCATGTGAAAGAAATTTTGCTTTAACTCTATGACGTCATGATGATGTCGTCACTTAGCTTTTCATTTTTTTTGGATATCTAATTTTCGTTTTCCAACGTTTTCCAACAGCTAGTCTTTGGCACTCTGGTCAGTCTGTTTTTTCTCCATTTATTTATACTTTTAGTCTACAACAAAGCGAGTCACAAGAAAAAGTCGTCAAAATGACATCATCAAGATCAAGTGATATAAAATTAAAATTGCAACTTCATCTCCACAGGTACATTGTACATGTTTTTCCACGTAACAGTAATCAGT